TAAGAAAGTAGTTAGGCTTCAAGTACTCGCTGTATTTGCATTCTCAATCACTTTTACCTAGGTATGTACTTCTCACACAGAGGGGTCTAGATCTCTGTCTGTAGTTGTTTCTTTTAAATGTAACCACGAAAATGATCTCTAAAGACAAGAGACAGGGCAATCTGCATTAGCATCATCTCCCTGACTGAAGGAGGTTGTAAGGGCAAAAACCCCCAACTCATAACACTGAATAGCTACTGACTGATTAGGAGATAATGCAATTTTCTGACAGTAAAAATTCACTTAACCCTGGAACGAATGTGAAAGGATGCACCCAAGACCAAAACAATCCCATGTGAATTACAATTAAGATTTGGGGAAATTATTGGATAGCACATGGGTCCTGTTAGGTCCAGAGAAGGTGGCATTTGCTGTATTAATTCATTCCCCTCTGTTTTCTACGTTTTCCACATAACACTGATATAAACCAGGTATCTCAAACTCCACATAAGCTATACCTCTACATGGTAATACTTCCTAGTCGTCAGAGTGATAAGGTTAACACCAGAACAGCAAAATACTCCAAAGATGAGCAATGGAAACACACAGAATATGTTCAAAATGCAAATACTAATGTTCTTTTACCATGTCTCATTTTTTCATGGCAGCCTTGAGAATCAGGAGGGATGCAATGGTAAGTATGAGGTGGGCAACTTATCTATCTCAACTGGACTAATTTCAGTTGCACACTGCAGGAATCACCTTTGTCCTTCCAGCTATATCAGCCTTCTCTCTCCTCACCACCAACTACAACCTTTAGACATGAAATATCACCCCCCAATCTCCAAATCCAAAACACTCAGACCCATTAAAGGCTTCCCCTCATCTTCTATGAAGAACAAAGAACACATTACATTTTTCTATGTGAAGTATGCTATTAAATAATAGCTTGTACACTAATTAAAGCAAATGTAATTGTGAGAACACACTGACATTGTTAAAGTAAATTACCCAATTCGTTAATAGTTTCATTTCAAGTGACCTTAATTGTATTAATTGTGATATTGAGCAAATTAAATTGAAGAGTATTAAATGCATTGTTCCAGTCTGTCCTTAGAGGATCGACTTTCTCATTATATCAATGAAATGGGAATACTACCTACTATGCTCTTCAAAACTTGTGTCAGAATGTGGTGAATGCTACAACTTTGAGTAAAAATTCACAGCAGCTCAGAAACAGTCAACCTAGTTATACCGTTTCAATGTAATATAAACCTCAAGCATTTGGAAATGAACAAAATACTTTGTCAGATGCAATACAGAGGGAGAAGGTAGAAAACCAAAGTTTCTGAAATTTATCTTCATATATTCAGTATTTATAAAGTCTCTGTTGGACACAAAAAAAGATAAGATTCATCAGTTTCTCTGATAAAGATCCCTATTTCAGGGAGAATCATTCAAAAATATTGTTAGAATAAAATGAACAGTATCATGAAGTTTCTTAGAACACAAATGTAGCAAGATACCATCAACTTACTATAGTCAAAAGCAAATATAATAACGCACATATACATAAATGCATGTAAATTAAAATACAGAGAGATCCAAAAGATACAATCCAAAATTAAAATGTCTTAAAAGAAAAGAAACTTCCACTCGAAGTATCCGACTGCAAAAGTGAGAATCCCTGCCACAAATTTCTTACCAGCTATTAAAAATGCTATTTAAAAAAGCGTATGTGAGTACATATATGCAACGCACATTTTTCTATCTTGAAAAAAAAAAAAAAAAACCAGACACAAGGAAAAATAACACAAGCCAAATCAACCATCAGAAAAAGACTGAAATACTCTTATCTATTTTTTTGGAATATTTTAAAGGGTTAGAAAAAAGATCTTGACTGTCAATTAGTTAACAGCCTATCCTGAATTTTTTAAACTTGCAAACGAGCATGTTCTCATAACTCATCATAACTCAAGATTCAAAGTTCCTCAGTTACACAAAATTTGGAGTTCTATGAACAGCCAGATCTTTCTTCAAATGACACTTACCTCATCTGTAATGCTTCACTTTTATTTGTTCAGCTAGGTAATTGTCTCCTGCCTAGTATTTGCAACATTAATACTCACAGCTGTTCCCAGTGAACCATGTCTTATTCTTCTCAGGCTGCTTCTCCAAAATCTAAATAATACTTTGAATTGTATGTCTGCCCTCCATTGCTAACAACCCTGTCCCAAATAAGCCACACACTCTCTCTATACCTTCACTGAGATTTTAAAAAAATAAAAGCACTAAGTACTACTAGACTCAATCACCATATTTCTGGAATCCCATCCAATATAACCTTCCAAGCTGACAGCAAATGAATGAAAAGTAGCCTATGCATGCAGTTTTCCAACCACCTATACTCATCAGCAATCCATGTATTTCTGAGATTTCTTTCATTTTATGAAAATGCCTTGTGAGAGAATTTCAAAATTCCAGCTGGACATGACATCTTTTGGTCCTCCATGAAGTTTTGGTATCAGTTGCACATACTAAAAATATAATACTTCATGTCTATTAACAAATCTGACTAGCTCTATGATTAAATAATTATTTTCAGCATCCTTATCAGTGATGTGCTTTCTATTTATTACCTCACCTCAGTGATGACTTCTATCATTTTGTCTCCAAGGTAATACTTTAAGCATTCAGCACAGCTTCAAAAAACGATTCAGATGTCCTAATAATCCACATAGATGTGTATAGAACATCACCGACTGATGGACCACCTCTTCTCCATATTTCTATGATACATGATACCGAAGACTTTAAGATACAGGTTTTCACCAAGTTGATTCTGTATCATGCCTGAAACTTGAGGCCAAGTTGAAATATCTTGTCTTGAAATACTTTTGTGAAGACAGTGATGGACAGACTGCATGGACAGAAACAACTGTCTACTTTGATGCAGACAAAGCATCAACCGTCTAAGCATATGCTTTACTTAAAATGAAATATTAAAACTTCAAGGACTTACTTTGGATATATAAAGTTTCAAATTAAAATGCAGTATGTGTTTCACAGTAAAAAAAAAAAACTATGAAGATGAAATGGGTGCTTTATATAAAATATTTACATAGATAGAACATAAAAAATGTACCATAGTTGGTAACCTTTATGACTTGGGGAACCATGTATTTACATATCTTTATCTTCGCATGTGCATATGTGTGTGTTGTGTATATATTTTTAACAGTTGACAGCTGTTTTAGAGCATACAGAGATGCCAAGCTGAATGAGGGTCTTGATTACTTCAAGATTAGCTATCTAAAGTTTCTATTCATTTTAAGTGTTGTTAGTGCGAAGAGTCATTAGTCACTTCCTTGTCTCATAGAACATCAGCATACATTTACATTGTTAATGAACATTTGGGGTAAATGAATTAATGGCACTTTTAAACATTAATTCAATACTAATAACTTTGTATGTCATAGAAATGTTAAGGTTGGGATAAAAATGAGAAACCTTTTCAGTCAAGGTAACTAATCGCTTCTGGGCACAATAAAGGGTAAAATTAATCTACAGTGTTTTTTTAACAGGGTAAAAATCTTGTTTTTTCTTGAAACAGAGTTGAGAGAATTACCAGTTATTTTTTTAAGGATAAAAATCAGAAGAAAATGCTTATCTTTTTCTTGATTGGGGTAGACTAGAAGCAAGCGGTATTTCATTTGGAAAATGGTTTTTATTTTAGGTTATTGCGAAAGATTATTTTCAAGCTTCTAAAAATATGTACAAAAATGCATTTAGTTTATCAAACTAAAATGGCTCCATATCGTTAAGATGTCATATTTAACAGAGGAGGAACACTGACCTAGAAGAGCTATTTGATTTAATCGTCGTGTTTTAAAATACTTTGCCCTAGATCTTCAGTCTCATTTTCTAACATTGAAAAAGCTTTATAAACCAATGAAGAAAACAATGAAAAAAAAAAAAATTAGCTCAAAGGGACAATGACGTTTTACCAATATATTTTAAAGCAAAACATCAGCTTCTTATAAACTGAAGGAATAAACCTAACTAAGCATAACTTGACATAGCTTTTTTAATAAGCACTAGTAAACAGAAGATTTATAGACGGATACACTCACATGGAGTACCTGATCTGGGTAAGGGACTTAGGAAATGTGACAAAGTTGTTTCAACTCTGTAATTTAAAATAAATTTTTTATTTTGCCCTCCTGGTACATGTGTTCAATGACTGGAAAATTACAGGTAGTTAAGGTGCCACTGTATATAACTGAGTACTTGAGGAATGTTTTCATGACAAGGACGAGCTTTCTCGTTAAGCTTATCACTTTCTTCGAACCAACTATACTGTCACTACTAGCAAATAAGTAGGAAAGACAGGCAACACAGACATGCATTGCATTATGCAAGCAGTTTGTTCTCACTGTTCATTAGAGCCTTCCAAATACTGCACTTAATTAATTTACTGTAGGTTACATACTAATTTCTACTTTTAGAGCCTGTTCATTCTATCTCAACTTTCTTTTTTTTCCTCAAACAATGATATAGGTGCTGAGTCAAGCAAAAAAAAAGGAGAATCAGACTTTTTATTTTCATAATGTCACTCAAAATAACACACTGAAGTTTATTGCAGAATTAAAAAAAAAGGAAAATTGAAAAAAATCCCTAAAGCCAAAGCAGTGTTAAGAGCCCATGCTTGAGAAAGTAACATAAAGCCATGCTGCATATCAATATTCTTATGCTGAAGTCAGTGTTTGGTTTATGATTAAAAAAAGGTGACAGAGCATTAAACATTTGGCTAATATTTCTGTCTGTAATTGGAAGTTGACTTTTTGTGGTTTTCATTAGTGTCAGGGCGTTCTACACATACTCTGTGAAATGTTCTTTAAGTTGCCCTGTTCAACTTCATTGAGAGAGTTAAACAAATTATGACAGGTACAATTATTGTGACACACTTATATAAGATTTCTAGGTATAAAGTAAAAAAAGTACAGAAATACAAAACTCACCTTCCCCTGGCTTGTTCAAATAACTCTGCAAGGGATCAATGCCTATTTCTTGTTCCTCTGTTTGCAAAGGGTGACTGGTTTCCGAGACAGAATGATACATATTGGCAATGGTAAATTCCAACCAAAAGGTATTTATCTGGAGGAAAAAAAAAACCGAGAAACAAACACTTCAGTGTTCAGCTATTTTTCAATCACACAAGTCAATAGCAAAAATGTTTAAAACCTTTCCTTATTTTCCAGGCGTAACATCACCATTAGGTGTCTAATAGCAGAACAATTGCATTTCCATTCAAATGTTTTATTATTTGGAGTCCAAAAGAATTGTTATAGTACCTCCAACTATCACACTGCAAGTAAAAGTTCAAGTGTGGTTTCAACAGACTTTAGAGTGGGGCAGGAGCCTCTTTCCTTCCTTCTTCTAGCTTCCCCAACTCATCTTTCAGTCTGCTTCCAGGGAGAACTGATACTAGACTAGTCCTTGGGGATTATGCAGATTATAGAGCAAAGCTGAGGTGAGACTCATCATCATCACTCTTGTGGACCCAGGACCTCTTTTCCCAGAAAAACTTCCTTTTACCCATTTCTTTTTCAAAAGTGATAGGTCAAGTATAAAGTAACAGTGAGAGGGATGCAAACATACAAAAAGAGAGAATGAGATAATATTGACTGGTATGATGGCTGATTTTGGTTTTATCAAGACTTATATTAACTTTCTAGAAAGATGGTGTTAAGGAAGCATTTGAAGAACCCATAAGTAGCTAGCTAGGGAATATTTACACAGCAGTTCTTCCAAAAGAGAAGGGCAATAGGGGAGAAAGCACAAAACCGAAACCCCAGGAACTAAGTGATGCGGGTTCATCATCACAGGCTGCTGAATGGCATTCACATAGTTCTTGTTCACTTACGTGATAACAATGTTAGAAGTTCACAGGAGGAGTGTCGGAAGCCGACAAGGCTGTAACAAGTAAGAGGATGCCAATAAAAGGGTGAAAAGCAGATGGTGTTATGGTCAGAGCAATAAGAAGGAAAAATGACCTTTCCAGTGCATTAACAGCACAAGAGTACATTTGTCAAGACTGTGTTTTGGTCACTATACAGCAATTTATTAACTTGCGACACAGAAGAACTATGCCAGCCAAACAGGTTTGATTTGCCCAAGCACACGAAGTGGCTACCTATGACTGCCAGCTGAGTTTTAAATACCACTTACTGTAACTGCTTAGTTTACAAGAACCATAACTTTCTAAGCGCAAGAAAATTATATTTAAAAAAAATATACAAACATAGACTTTCACTTTCAGGATTGGTGTATTATCAATTGGAAATCACTTCAATTACGTTTTTCCTTTGGTTCTTACAAGGCATGGCATTGACCATATATGCTTTATACCTTCAGTTTACTGTCAATAAACGAAGGGGAGCTGGGATTCTTAAGACCTTTCCAGTTTTATACACTATTCATCTGCTTCATTTTCCTACTAAGTTATGTGGAAAAAACCCCCACCCCACCTAAGTAATAAACAAAGCTAGTTGGGCCGCTGTAAGGCAGTTCCTTCACACCAATGCACCCAGGCTGTTTCCAGAAGGACGCTCTCAGCTGTATTCCCTGAGGGTTTTGTCCTTTATGTGCCCCAGCACCTGTGTTAGTGTGGTACTGAAATGATCGCACCATCATCTCTCACTACCTTTTAGCTAGAAGAGAACATGTAAAGCTCTTGGGAACAAGGAGCCAGGACTCAAGGGAAGGTAGCACTGCCTGCTTTTGCAGTGGTACACCCTTATGTCACATTATTACAATCATACGATAAAACACACCACTAAAATACAGAATTGCCTTGAACAACTCTGTACTAGCTCAACAAAACATATTATGAATGCAAGTACACATCATGTGTTTCCTATGTAATTTATAAGCCATAATCATGAAAAATGCATGAATGGTAACTTGGAGAAAAACATCTATAAACTTGCTAGCCACTTAAATAACATTTCAATGTATACCTGCAGTCTAACGGCTATGTAACATACAGATATGTTTATAACTACCTGATATCTTACATAAATAAATTAAAAATTCAAAAGAATTTATGTGAAAAAAACACACCCAAATAAACACAAAAAACAACTTTGCAGAAAGAGACGTTTATAATTTTCTCCTGCTGGAATTTTAGTTGCTGTTCTTGTTCCCTTTGCTATATCATTGTAATTACCTTTCTAATGATCTGTTGATTTTGTCTTCGCAAAAATTAAAAGCTTATTTTGAACTGTGCTGCTAGTGTTTAACTTTTCATTTTTACGGTCATTCAGACATTGGTACATGATGTGACCAAGGCACAACCCTGAGTGCCTTTCAAACTGAGAACCAGGCAGAAAATGACCTTACCAGCCTTTGTAAGTTGTAGCAGCCACCACCTAGTTAAAACACATTATGGTTCAGACTTACACTGTCTTACACCCATAACATGGTATGAAATTAGCTCTAGTAAGTTGGTTCTACCTTTTCCTGTTCTGTATCTACCTTCTCTCTTTTTAAATACTCCCCAAATGCCATACTTTTAAAGTAAATTATGGCTCTTATATGTTGTACAGACGGTTAGAGCAGTTTTAAACAGCTGAATAGATTTACTTTTGATACTTGCACAGTGATTTAATCAGTTACTTGTGTTTGTTTACAGATACATTTGATTAGTGTTAAAAAAAAAAAAATCACCACCTATTAGTCTTGTCACTCCTTAGTCCAAGCAATTTTCTTTACAGCTTTATACTTAAGTTCTTTTCAGCTCTTCTCTTCTAACAAAGAGCAAAGAGAACTATTAAACAAATACGATTACACTTGGGATCTTAATCTCAGGCAGATTAATTCTTTACAGGTTTGTGGTTGATTTGTAATGGCCTATAGCATATTGTTCATATTAAATAAAGTGCTATTTAAAAACATTCTCAATGTGAAACAATAAAAATGTTATAAAAATCTGAAATTAAAATATTAGATTACAAGACTCAATACTATCTACTTAAACCCTAACATCTCAGTCAAAGCTAAAAGTGACTCTCTCACCTATTCCTACTTTTTTTTTCCTGCAAAGATGAAGGGCTACAAAAACCAAAGACCAGGCACCCTTCCCAGCACTGGGAGTTCAACTATTCTTCAATATACATGAAAAAATAATTAAGGCTGCATATGAAACATTTATCTAGTAAGGGGAATGAAAAGAGAGACTAATCCACTCATGAGCCCAAGGAAAAGACAGGCATATAATCTCCTTGTCTGGCTACTCTCCTTAAGTACACTAGCAGAGGGAGCCCTCATGTGCCACCGAGGACAGCATCACGGGTCTGCTCCTCACCAACAAACACACATGGAGTGAACCCAGTCTGCTTGCCAGTGAAGGCAGCTTGCCAGTACATCTGTGACCTGTCAGCCCAGGTTCTCAATGGAGACCAAAAACCCCTTGAAAGATAGGCTTATGGACTCCAACACAGAACTCAACTGGATATTAAAGGGACTATGGAGATACTCGCTTATGGCACATCACCCTCTCTCCCCATGACCTCCTTCATATTCCACAGGTGATAAAATAGCAACCTGTTTCCATTAGGAAGAACATAACTGATGTTTACTAACATCTACCTTACTAACAACCTCCTCCTACACAGCAGGGATCAACTACTTTTTGTATTAGATAGTCTGATTGAACATAACCGTTCTAATTCAGAGAACTTTCCTTGTTTTCAGGGAGCACTTAGCTTTGAAGTCTGCTGCTTCTTTTTTTAGACATGAGGAGGTTTGTGCACCTGAGAGTTTACAAATGTTTTGCCTTCAGTATTGACTGCTCTAACACGTGATACTACTTCTACCACCTCTTGCCATAAATGAGTTTTTCTTATACACCCATGCTTTCATCAGCATTGCCATTCTTCCTGTATACAAACCTGTGAGTTTGGAATGCTTAAAAAAATATTTAAAACATTCCAAATAAAACCCATTTCTTCACCAGACTGTCAGTGGCAACAGCCTCAACTCAGCCATACTTCACCTTCCATTAATATGCGTAAGTCATATCTATCTAGCTAGACTTTTATCTTTGTCTATATTTCTAAGTGAGATATCACAGAAACATGAAGGCTGGAAAAGACCTTTAAGATCATCAAGTCCAACAATCAATCCAGCACCACCATGCCCACTAAACCATAACCTGAAGTGCCATGTCTACACATTTTTTGAACACTTCCAGTGATGGTGACCCCACCACCTCCCTGGGCAGCCTCTTCCAATGCTTGACCACTCTCTCAGTAAAGAAATTTTTCCTAACACCTAGGCTAAACCTCCCCTGGTGCAACTTGAGGCCATATGCTTCTATCGTTAGCTGAACTGTCAATGAAGCACCAGTCACATCTGGACCTGAGTTGGGCAAAACACAGCAAAAACATGTATTACACAAACAAAAGTGTATCGCTATAACCAGAACTGCACAAAGCAGCAGTCTCATCCGTAATAAGATTATAATAAATGTAATATAATAAACTTATTTTAATGGATGTTCAGTTAGAAGATGAAAATTTCAAAATAAAACCAAACTCAATAGAGTTCTTTTTAGCAGTGAGACTATTCATTACCATGAAAGCAGGTGGCAGGACTACCCTAATATAAAAAATTTTGATAAATTTAACAACAGTATTTCATAAACAAAACATCTCACAGTTGAACTTGAGTACTGTAACTTATTTCAAGTCATAAGACATTCATTTACCTATTTACTTGCAACAGATACTGAATACAAATATTCAGTATTCAAAGGAGCAGTTTATGGATAGCAAGCATTGTTTCAAAAATAGTTACTAAATTATTTCAATTGAAAAACCTAGAAACACCCCATCTAAAATGTTTCCCTTAATCATCAGTGTTCATACAGAAGTTTTAAAATTATTTATTCAAACTACAAGACACACCAAGACATATAAAAATTAATATTTAAGGTGTGAAGAGTATTCATATGGTTTGGGCAAAATTAGAAAATATAATCAATCTCAGAAAGGATATTTTGAAAGTGTAACTGAGTAGGTGAAAGAGAATTAAGCAATCCTGAGCTTTTACAACATCCATTCCCCCTCTCTTCCCGTCCCCCAATG